ACCAGACAGAAAATCAGCAAAGAAATAAAAGAACTGAATCGCACCTGTGAACAAATGGAATTGATAGACATATACAGAGTATTCTACCCAACAACAACAGAATACACATTCTTCTCAGTAGTACATGGGTCACTCTCTAAAATAGACCATATATGGATTCACAGAACATATTGAAATAAATGCAAAAAGGTTGAAATTATCCCTTGCATGCTTTCAGACCATAGCACTATGAAATTAGAAATTAATGATAAAAGATACTGCAAAAATCCCACAAACACATGGAAAATGAATAACATACTCTTGAGTAATCAGTGAGTCACAGAGGAAATTAAAGAAGAAATTAAACAATACCTACAAACAAATGAAAACACAAAACTTACCGGAATCTGTGGGATGCAATGAAAGTTGTCCTCAGAGGAAAATTTATTGCACCAAGTTCCCATATCAGGAAAACAGAACGAATACAAATAAATAACCTGATGTTACACCTCAAACATCTAGAAAAAGAAGAGCAAGTCAAGCCCAAAGCCAAAAGAAGAGAGGAAATTATAAAACTCAGAGCAGAAATCAATGCAATAGAGACTAAGAAAACAATCCAAAAAATCAATGAATCAAAGAGTTGGTTCTTTGAAAGAATAAATAAAATTGATAAGCCCCTAGCCAACCTTATTTTTAAAAAGGGAAGAAAAAGCTCAAATTCATGCAATAAGGAATGAAAAAGGCGAAATCATTACAGACCCTATAGAAATACAGAAGATCGTCAACACCTATTTCGAAAACCCCTACTCTCAAAGGTTTAATAACACAGAGGAAATGGACAGATTCCTAGAAGCATACGAAGTACCAAAGCTAGGTCATGAAGATGTAAAATTACTGAATAACCCAATTTCTATTAATGAAATCAAAAACATAATTAAGTCCTTATCTACAAAGAAGAGCCCAGGCCCAGACGGATTCACTGCAGAATTCTACAAGAAATACAAAGAAGACCTAATGCCAACACTCCTCAAACTCTTCAATGAAATTGAAAGGGAAGCAATCCTTCCTAAGTCATTCCTGGAAGCAAATATTACTCTAGTACCAAAACCTGAGAAAGACCCAACTAAAAAAGAGAACTATAGACCGATCTCCCTAATGAACACAGATGCAAAAATCCTCAATAAAATATTGGCAAATAGGATGCAGCAAATCATCAAGAAGATCATACACCATGACCAAGTGGGATTCATCCCAGGCATGCAGGGATGGTTCAACATACATAAGTCAATAAATGTAATCCACCATATCAATAGAGCCAAAAGTAAGAATCACATGATCATTTCTACAGATGCAGAAAAAGCTTTTGATAAGGTACAACATACATTTATGATAAGAGCCTTGCAGAAAATTGGAATAGATGGTCTTTACCTCAATATAATAAAGGCCATCTATGACAAACCAACAGCCAGCATCATACTAAATGGCCAAAAATTGAAGGCCTTTACTTTAAAATCAGGCACAAGACAAGGATGTCCCTGTCACTGCTCCTATTTAATATAGTACTGGAAATACTAGCCAGAGCAATTAGGCAAGAGAGAGAAATAAAAGGTGTAAAGATAGGAAAAGAAGAAGTTAAATTATCATTATTTGCAGATGACATGATACTCTACATAGAAGACCCCCAAAACTCAATTGAAAGACTCCTAGATATAATAAATAAATTCAGCAATGTGGCTAGATACAACATCAATACTCAAAAATCAATAGCATTCCTATACATTAACAACAAAATCACAGAGAGAGAAATAAGAGAAGCCACACCCTTCACACTAGCAACCAAAAAAATGAAATATTTAGGAATTACTCTCACGAAAGAAGTGAAAGACCTACACAGGGAAAATTACAATACACTGAAAAATGAAATTGAAGATGATCTCAGAAAATGGAGACATCCCTTGCTCATGGATACAAAGAATAAATATTGTGAAAATGGCCATTCTCCCCAAACTGTTACACAGATTCAATACAGTCCCGATAAAAATACCATCAACATACCTCATAGATCTCAAAAAATCACTCCTAAAATTCATCTGGAGCAAGAAGAGACCTAGAATAGCAAGGACAGTTCTAAGCAGCAAAGGCAAGGCAGGAGGCATCACAATCCCCAACTTGAAGTTATACTACAAAGCAACAGTAGTAAAATCAACATGGTACTGGAACCAAAACAGAGCCAAAGATCAGTGGAATAGATTAGAAGATACAACCACAACTACAAACACACTCAACCACCTTATCTTTGATAAAGGGGCCAAACATGTTCACTGGAAGAATGAATAAATAAATGGTGTTGGAAAAACTGGCTCTCCATATGCCGAAAACTAAAACTAGACCCATGCCTATCACCATGTACTAAAATAAAATCTAAATGGATCAAAAATCTAAATATTAAAACAGAAACATTAAATATATTGGAAGACAAATTGGGTAAAAACCTTGAAGACATAGGGGTAGGTAGAGAATTCATGAACAGGAATCAAACTGCATGGGAAATACTTCCCAGAGTCAATAAATGGGATCACCTCTTATTAAAAAGTTTCTGCACGTCAAAAGAAATCTCCAGCACAGTGAAAAGAAAACCCACAAACTGGGAAAAAATCTTAGTGAACTTTCCCTCAGACAAAGGACTTCTGTCTAAAACATATAAAGAATTTTAAAAAATCAGACCCTCAAAATTCAAAGACCCCATCCAAAAATGGGCATCTGAGATGAATACACAATCCTCAGATGAAGAAATACAAATGGCAAATAAATACATGAAATCATCATTAGTAATTAGAGAAATGCAAATTAAAACCACACTGAGATTTCATCTCACTCCTGAAAGAATGGCCAAGGTCAAGAAAACCAACAACAAATGCTGGAGAGGCTTCGGGGAAAAAGGAACTCTCCTACACTGTTGGTGGGAGTGTAGACTAGTGCAACCACTGTGGAGGTCAGTCTGGAGATTTCTCAGAAAGCTGAGATTGGAGGCCCCATTTGACCCAGCTATTCCACTTCTAGGCATATTCCCAGAAGAACTGAAAGCATCATGCCACAGTGATATATGTGCACCCATGTTTATAGCAGCACAATTTGTAATAGCCAGAACTTGGAAACAACCTAAGTGTCCATCTACTGAGGAATGGATAAAAAAGTTGTGGTATTTTTATACAATGGAGTATGCCTCAACTATAAAGAATGATCACATTGAGATATTTATAAATAAGTGGATGCAGCTTGAGACCATACTCATAAGTGAAATAAATCAAACTCACATGTATAAATACCAAATAGTTCCCCTAGTGTAAGAAATGATAAGAATACATAAAAGTACGTGGTAATCATGATTCCCAGTCATATTGGTTTGAAGCCATATAATGTTTTCACTCATTAATTGGAATAGTTTTAATCTGGGTAGTTCGATTTTATTGTCTGTGATAGTACGAATAGCTATTTTGAAGAAAACAAGACATCATAATAGCTAGTGCTGATTTAATATCTGGCTCTCCATATGCCGAAAAACTTCTTGTTTTGAAGTCCCATCAAGCTGTTGTTCGTCTGTTTCCATTGCTTTTAACATGCTGTATCTTATTATATTTTACTATATGCTATAGTATAAACAAAATTTTTTATAGGCAAAGAGATATTATAGAAACCGTTGTTCGTTTTCTGTTAGCTGGTTCTAAATACCCTGTAATTCTTTCATTCTTTTGAATGGCTTTACACTGTCTTGATATGCTTGAAGCTATAGTATATGAAGTTATACTCAAATAATTCAAGGAAAGAGACACTACAGTGACTACTATTATGTCAGGTTATCTGGTGGTGAAACACAATGGTGCTTAAATTGTTCAGTCCTGACCTGTGTTGTTCTGTTACTATGTCCTCTTTTATCTCAATCTCCCCATTTTTAAATTTTTTTAAAAAAATTAATTTATTTTTTTCTTATTTTTTTTATTAAGGGAAAACTAAATTAAAAAATAGCGGGATATATTATAGTAACTTTTTTGTTTTCCTATCAACCTGATTTGAATCCCAGTATTGCTCTCCCCATCTTGTTCTGATTGATTTTACTATATTCTGTTTTGTTTGATAGTATCAAGTTTGAGGGTATAGGCAACCACTTTGAAGGCAGTTAGATTTACTATGATGCCCATTATAGTTTGACTATTATCTTCTTTTGAAGTCTTGTAAGGTCTCCAATGTAGGTTTTTTTGGTCTTGTTCTGCCCTGTTTTGTTCAATTCTATTATACCTGATGATATAGGCAACTCTTTATAAGATATCAAGAGGCATAATGGTAACCATTGTTGATCACGTGGTATTCTGTTTTTGCATCATGTACTATGTCCATCCTTCTGTTCTAACTGACTGTTTTGCTTTGTCACATTTGGGGTTTTTTTTTCTCTTCAGAAAAAAAAGTTATAGGAACAGTGGGAGTAATAAAACCCAAAAAGTGTAATTGTTATTGTAAAAAAGAGAGGAAAAGAAAGTGGTCTAAAGGATATAACTGCATGTATATATAAGTGTGTAGGATAAAAAGCCATATTACTTAGTTTTCATTGGATCATTGAACAGAACTGTCTGCAATCTCACTGTAGGAACGTCTACTTTGTATGCTTTCATTTTGTAATTTGACAATTACAAAATTGTAAGATGACAATATGTAATCTATTAACTAGTGATTTCTTACTGTATATTTTTTTTCTTGCAATTCTGTGTGACTTGTACCCTTTTACTGCTTTGGTTTTTTTTCTCTTTAAATTAAAAAAAACATCATACCATAAGGATAGATGAGCACCCATATTTATAGCAGCACAATTTGTAATAGCTAAATCTTAGAAACAACTCAAATACCTATCAACCAAGGCATGGATACACACGATGTGGTTTTTAAATATACAATGGAATATGATCCAGTCATTAAAAAGATAAACTGGAGATTTTTATAGGTAAACAGATACAACTCAAATCCATACTCACAACTGAAATAAATCAGACTCCTGTGCAAGCATCATATTGTCTCCCTGGTTTGAGAAGCTGAAAGAGTAAATAAGATGTTATAAATGTACACCCAAAGCTTTCTCTTCCTTTTCAAGCCTTTTGGATTTTCAGAGACTGTTTTCTTCAAATGTTTCACCTTAAAATGTTTCTTGAAATCTTTAATTTCTCTGTAATATTGTCTAGTTTTCTATATAGCAGTCTTGTAAATTTTGTGGTGAGATTTATCATTATTGTGTATTTTATAATTAATATGACCACACAGTTGTTTTTTGGGGGTAGAGTACTGGAAATTGAGCTCAGGACTTCATGCTCACCAGGCACTATTTTATATTTTAATACTCTTGTAACTTATATGTTCTGTTTTTGTATGTCACCATAAAGTGGAAGTATAGTTGCTTTTAAAGAAACATTAAAAAAAAATCCAGGGTGCAGCTCCATGGCAGAGCACTTGCCTAACACGCACAAGATCCTGGATACTGTTATACTAAGATGCTAAAAAATTAAAATAATTGATTAAAAGACAATTAGCAAAAATAGTTAGTTAAAAAGATAGTTATTAGCAGTATTGTCATTCTGTACTGAGCTCATTACCCTAGTAACCAAGCACCAACCACATAGCTATAGATTAACTGGAACGTCATTATGCTGTTCTGTATGGGTCACCCCCCCAAGTAACCTGTGGGCTGTGTCAACTTTTGTTCCCCTTGTAAGAGACAAACGATGCTGTGTCAACCATTGTTCCCTTTACGAGAGACAAATATTCCTAAAATTGGCAGACCAAGGGCTATGAATTGGCTAACCCTCCACTGTGAAATGCCTCTTACGTCAAGCAAAGGGGAACAAAGGCCCACCTTGTTTCTGTTTCTCATCACTGTGTACTTAATGATCAATGAGCTAACCATAAATAAACTATAAAAATCAGTCAAAATTCTAACTCAGTTGCACAGCTCTGGAAATTCCATCTGCACTGTGTCAGGCCTCGCTAAAATAAAAGTGCTTCTTTTAAAAAGACGTCTTGGCCCATTTATCATCTCGGGGGTCTTGCCCCATTTTTCATCATGGGGCCTTGTTTTTTGGGTGGGTTACAACAGATGCAACCCCAATATCACTCACACACAGAATGGAAGGGTGGAGATGGGGGTGGTGGTGAGGACAGTAGCAATATAATGTGCACAGTAGGATTTTACTTAGAGGAAGGACACCAAAATGGGAACTGGACAAGTACCTAGCACTTCCCTGGGGCTTTTAACTCCTGTTCTTTTTTGAGTGTGGCAAGGTTTTGTAAAGGTGGGAAACGGAGTCTCCAGGGACCATGGAAGATTAGAAGGGTAAAAACTGCCAGGCACAATGGTGTACATGTATCATCTCAGCATTCTGGGAGGCTGAGGCAGGAGGACCTCAAGTTTGAGCCCAGCTTAGATAACAGTAATTAGTGAGATCTTGTCTCAAAATTTTTTTTACAAAAGAGCTGGATATGTAGTTCAATGCAGAGGCCCTGGGTTCAATATCTAACAAACAAAAACAAATAAAATAAACCCAGCATTAGTTTGCCTATGGAAGAAAACAAAAACCAATCTACTGTCCTGACAGCAGTCTGGGGACACTGTCACCTGTATGCCCATAGGGCTTTCAAATTTTTTATTTAAAAAAATTTTTTCTTTTGAGACAGCATCCTCTGTGTCATCCAGACTACCCTTAAACTCACTGTGCACCACAGGCTGGCCTCGAACTGACAGTGATCTTCCTGCCTCAGCTTCCAAAGTATTGGTATTACAGGCACGCACCATCACACCCAGCCCCTTGGGACTCCTTATATCCACACCATGGCTGTCCAAGGCCAGATGAGTGACACTGACAGCATTTACTCCGGGCCAGGCGTGGTGCATGGCGATTCATAGACATTATTGTAGTTGGCTCCCACCTCAATACCAGGATGCAGTTGCTAATTACTTCTCCACATGAGGAAGCAGAGGCATTGGGAGGCTAATCAATGTGCTGAATGAAGGTCATAGGCCTCTCACATGGGGCAGAGCATGGCATTTCACCCAGGGCCATGGGATACTTCCATGAGTTCCTGCAGCTGCTTCTTTCGGAAAGGAGTCGCCTCACTGCTTTTTCGCAGGTTACACTCCCAGCCCCATCTATTAACAACCATCTATCATCTCCCGGTCATCACCTGGGAGCTCTGGCGCCGTGCCGCCTGGCACAGGTGCGGACGGAGCGCCTGCCTTCAGTGGCGGCCCTGTCTTGCATCCTCTGTGCCTGCACCATGTACGAGGCTCTAGGACTTGGGCCACAGACATAAACATCTTCACCCTTTTGCATCTCTTCCCTCCATCTCCTGGACCACCTCCCCTTTGAGAAAGATCTAGCTCCCCATTTCCCATCATCTATCTTTCATTTTGCTCCTTATTTATACCCTGTGTTTCTCATGCAAGAGAAACTGTGATATTAAGCTCTCATGTCCGGCTACTCCACTCAGTGCTGCAGTCCCCATTGTTGCTGTCTGGAGCAGGGCCTTAGCTGGATAAAAGTTCACACGCACAGAGGCGACTGCCAGCACCGCGACTGCAGAGCACTCCAGTGCTCGGGATGAGCAGACACAGAGCCCAGTTCCTGCCTCCCCCAACCCCGGGCTCCCTGTGCACCCGGTCTGGGACCTCACAATCCCCAAATCCCTGCACCCCTGGGATCCTATGGAATTTGATGTTCGTTCAGTGGTACCTGTAGCAATTTCAGTATTAGAATAACACAAGCTGGACAAGCTTCTCTCTCTCTCTCTCTCTCTCTCTCTCTTTCTAAGACTTCATCTCTGCACCTTAAATTGTGAGGACAAAACAATACAGTCATAGGTAGAATGCACAGGACAGCTAACACTACACAAATATCAGCTATAATAATATACTGTCAGCTAAATAACTGATTTAGAAACATCATTGACTGCCACCCATGTGGAGTGGGAGCAAGGTGGCTGGGCAGGCTGGAGGATGTCCTGGCCAGCCAGCCAGTTTGTGTCCCAATGTGTGAGGTCACCCTGCAGGTGGCTGGCCCTGCATTGAGCACTAAGGAACCACTGCTCTTCCCATGCAGGTTGTGGGTAACCCCACAGCGCCTCTTCACCAGCTGTACAAATCTGCGTCTCCATTAGGCTTCATGGATGCAGTCACAAGACCTCCAGCTCCTCTCTGCAATTCTAAGCCTGGAAGCTACAGAGACAGGACAGAAGCCAAAACGTCAGGAAGCCGGAGTCGGGGCAGCCCTGATTTGCGAATGGGGTTCCTCCACCTCCCCATGCTGGCTGCACCCCGAGATCGAGACAGCTCTGAACTCATTCACCTTGAGCTCAGGGCTTCACAGATGCTGTCCTTCCAGTCCTCCAAGGTGACACCTGGCCCTCCTCCTCCTCCTCCTCACCTGGCTCCAGCTCCCCACTCCTCCAGGAAGCCAGGGGAGCCCCAGAATAAATGCCCAGTTCCCCTGCTCATTAGCAGCTCTGTCTCCAAACCACCAGCTCCAAGAACACAGGGCATAGCTGGTTTTCTGGTCTCCTGTTGTGTCTCTGGCTTAGTGCCCAGACTGGGCACACAGCAGGTCCCTGATAGCACCTGTTCCATGCAGGTGAGAACATCTCTCAGAGCCTCAGAAATTGAGGGACTCAGTCCCAGCCTCATGGAATCCCGGAACAAACTGACAACTGTGGGGCGCAGCAGGTACTTGGCGACACCTCCCCGCTACCCCCCACTCCTTTGGGTCAAGGAAGAGTGAGAAGCAGGCATGTGGCTCATCAAGGACAGCTTAGAGCTTTCTCAGGCAATTCCATGGGGATGGACAGAAGGCCTGGGATTGGGACAGCAGCCAGTCTTCCCAGCTCAAGCTACAGATTTAAAGCAACCAGATCAGATCCCAGCAGGCTGTTGAAGGATGCATGCAAAATGATTCTAGAGCCTACACCACAGTAGAAGAGCTGATGCGTTTCCAGACACATCTCGAAGCCACAGAAAGCAACACAGAGGCATTTGGTAACAAAACAGACAAACAGATAATGAAACAGAGCCAGAAACCCGAGACTGATCCACATAAATATGCTGAAGGAATCAGAAGCAAAGTAGGAAAGTCAGCACAACAGAGAAAAGACATTCCTTTTAACACCAGGCGCAGGAACAAAATCTACGTACACAGAAGTGATACTGCCGCAGACCTTCCACCCTTCCCATGAATGAACTCACAGCAAATCACAGACCTGCATATGAAATGCAAAACTGTAAAACTCCTCAAAGAGGGCACAGGAGGAAACCTCAGTTACCTTGGTTTCATGATGACTTTCCAGGTAGTACATCAAAGACTTGATCCAGGGAAGGAAGAGCTGATCAGCGGAGTCCCTCAAAGTTAAACATTTCTGAGCTGGTGTGGTGGTGCATGCCTATCTACAAGGCAGGGACATCGGGAGGCACAGGGCGGACTGCAGTCTTTCCTGTGTTCCTCAGGGTGCCTGGGCTGGGTTGCAGTGGCTGCCAGTGAACTACAGAGTGGGCAGTGCTGAGCTGGAAACTGAGTCCTGCCCCTCCCTGGAACGCATGCGGTCACAGTCACTGTCCTTTGTGTTGTTGACTTCTGGAAACAACCACGTTTGGAAAATGCTGCATCTGACAGGCTACACAGCCGCAATTCGTCACAGGACTTTCAGTTTCTCTGGATGCTGTGGCAACGCTGTGGCTTGTGTCTTATTCCTGTGAAGGTAGCAGGAGATATTTGAACCTCTTGAGGACCCGACTGTGTCCCATGATCACAAGGTTAAAGCAGGGACACAGTGCTGGCCGCTTGCCCAGGTCTTTGTTCTGTCTGTTCCCAGCCCCCACTTCCTCCTTTTGCTTCACAAGCCCTCTTCTTGGAACTGCGGATGAGGGGCACTAGACATGGAAGGAGGGAAGTCAGGGTGGAGACGAAGTCCATGGTACGCTTCACTGTCTTTCTCCCAGGGGTGCTAGGGATGGAGCCCACTGAACTGCACTCCAGCCCAGGCAGGAACAGCTTTGTGGGGAGAGAGCAGAGTCCTTTGCCAAGGATCCTGCAGGCCCGGAAAAACAGGAACCCCACCCCTCACCATACAGGGCACAGAGTTCAAAACACCCCAATGCCGCTATGGCATCACTTCGTGGTCTGCAGGCCCTTTTCAACATTCCTGTGCTGTCCTCAAACTTCTTCTGCTGCACGGTTGCTTCTTCAGTGCCTGGCAGCCCTGCCAGGCTGTGGGCTTCCTGCAGGAAGGACCTAGATGTTTGCGCACCTCTGTAATTTCAAGGGCTGCTACACTGCCCAACATAGAGAGGCAACAATGCTTTCCCATATGTCCGCCAGAAAAGGGCTCCCCAAAGTCTTTCATAGGATAGGATGCTCTATAGATCACTCTGTCTTGAAAAAAACGACTGCCTGGGCACAGGAAGGCTGAGGAACTCCAGGAACCCATGTAAGCAAAGGTGGCATTAACCTAGGCTACAGGGACAAATGTGCACAGATTCTGGTGGCCAACTCTCCAGGCAGGAAGAAGGCTGAGGATGCTACTCAAAGGCATATTCTGCAGGGGTCTCGTTGGCAGTGCCCCAGCAGATGTGGGACTGCTGCGGACTGAGGGTTACTTTCCGCTGATCCCATCACAGAATGCAGCCCTTCCTGGGGATCCACCATGCACACCTGAGGGGACCCTCATCAGGCAAGGCACAGGGAGACCCTAGCCCTAGCCCATACCTCAGCTGCGGGCCGGGGCCAGATTCTGAGGCAGGGAACTCTGATAAATAGTGCCCAGAATCCTGGTTCCCAAAATTCAGATCTAACAGATGGGCACAGTTTTAAGTTATGAAAACACAAAAGACACAGGATTATCTAGGAAAGGTGGGGGACTCTGCTAACAGTCTCAGTGCTGGTTTGGATGACTAGCTTGGTTACTCAACAATCAATAAAAAATAGGCAATATAGTGCAAGATAGGCATGGTGACAAACACCTGCAAACCCAGCACTCGGTGGGGGTGCGGAGGCAGGAAGACTGATATAAGTTCAAGGCCAGCCTGAGCTACATTGTGAGATCCTATTGAAAGAAAGAAAGAAAGAAAGAGACAGAGACAGAGAAAGGAAGAAAGGTGATTAGTGATCCCTTGGCATTGAGACTGTCCAGGCCAGGCTGGATGTTGCTGCGGATGACCGCTAAGAGTCACCTTACAGCACACTGCCACACCATGCGGTCCCAGGACACACACGGAACAGATTCAGAGTGTGGGAAGGCCTGTTGCTGTCTGCAGATGGGGCTCTAATCCCAGCAGGGCAGGGTGGGGGGAACCAAGCAGCCTGCAGCTCTGCCACAGGGACCCCTGCCCCAGGGTGGGGGTGCCCTGAAGCATACACAGGGGACACTGTTGGCAGTGGTGTCTCGCAACACTGCAGCAGGGAGGCATCCTGACCTACCACCAGCAGCTGCGTGCTGCCAGCCTCCAGTTATCTGGGTCCATCTGCACCTGACCTGTGCCCTTGGCATTCAACATCCCTTTACTCTGCAGCATGGGGAAAGTGTGGCCCCAGCTAGCATCTGCAGAGCACCAGTTTTATTTGAGGAGTCCAAATCTAGGACCAGAGACACAGAGGCTTCCTGTCAGAATGAATGGTGGATCTTAGCCAGGGTGCAGCTCAGTGATGAGCACTGGCAGCCACACACAAGGCCTTGGGTCCCACTCCTGCACTGCAGGCTGCGCTGCACAACTCACCAGAGCACCCCAACACTCTGAGCCCAAGGCCGGAAGGAGCAATGCCTGGCCGGTTGGGAGTCACAGGGGTGGGACAGGAGAAGTGGGGGCTGAGCCCACCTGGAGCTGAATCAAGGTCTGCCAGGGCAGTGAAGGAAGTGATCTGGTAGGTGCCGGAAGTCAACAAGGAGCTCAGGGGCATTTGCCAGCTTTGGGCAAATTCCTTCTGTGGGAATCCAGAGAAAGGACCAGAGGGCCAAGAGACATGCACAGGCAGAGGCAGGTGGCCATGGAGGAGCCTTGCAGAGGGCAAATGGACGGCGAGGAAGGTGTGTGACGGGACAGCCTGCTACTAGTAAGGGTGTGGCTGGCAAGGCGGGGACGACCACAGATGTAGCTCACCCAGGAAGAACTGCAGAAAGGCCACACTGTGTACCGAGTTGAAGGGTAGTGTCCAGGAGGTGGTTGGGCCCAGCAGATGTGGGCAGATGTGGAAGCCATCTGAGTGAGTAGCTAAGGAGAACACAGCAGGCTGGGGCTGCTGTCACACTGAGAGGTTACAATGGCCTGAAACAGAGAAAAAGACCTAGAAACTCAGAGGAATTGAGAAGCTATGAGGCTGAAACAGGCTGCACTTAGCCCTCGGGTCTGAGGGGCACAGAATAGTGACCCAGTTTCCAGTCGGGCATGGTGGCAGAGGCTGCTGTGGTCTGTCGAGTGGGTAGCAGCTCTGGGGACAGGGTGATGTACTGGGCCCTCCCTAGAGCAGACCCCAAGGCCCAGGTTTGGGGGAGGTGAGTGTGGGTGGGAGTGGGGCCAGGGAGTGACAGACATGGGAACCACACTGTAAGCAGCCCAGCCAAAAAGAGAAAAGAAAAAAATAAAGGAAGTGACTGGTGAGAGGAGAAGGTCCCTCTGTGCCCTCAGGGGAGACTCTGGGTGGCCAAAGTACTCGACCCTGGAGCAGCCAGCAGCACCGGGTTGGGGCTGCAAAGCATGAAGGCTCTAGGAAGACATGTGAGCACTTGGCCAGCAGCCCGGTGCCATCCACGGCCAAGCCATGGAGCCCGCTGAGGCCCAGCAAGGCCACACCAGGCTGCTGCACCAACTCAGGGGTGCGATAGCCAGCATGGAAGGTCACAAGGCAGGCAGGGAGACAGGCAGACAGGCAGACAGCCAGACAGACAGGCAGGCAGACAGGAAGGCAGAGACATGGCTAAATATGGCCATACTGGACGGCACCACGGCCTTGGAGCACCGCCAGCACTGCCTGCCCAGCCCGTGTAGAGCCGTCCTTAGGGACCAGTGTTGGGATCTGGGTTTGACTCACAAGAAACAAGTGGAATCTGAACATTTCCAGAGGACAGCAGCACCAGTGAGGGTGCCAGTTCTAAGCAACCACTTGTGATAGCGTTTGGCTCTGTTTCATTCAGGCAATGGCTTGGGATCTGATCGCGCTCTGTCTTTTTTAACTCCCATTATCTCAAAAATCACCTCTCCACTTCTGCCAGTTTCCACAGACACTGCCATTCTGGTTGTGTACTTGGCAGGCATTATGGTTACGTAAATTATGAGTTTTTGTCAGTCCATGTTTACATTCCTTGTACATCACACATCCCACTTCCCTCTCTCTCCCTCCCTCTCTTGGTCCCCTTCCCTATTGAGAAAGATCTATCTCACCAGGTGTGGTGGTGCATGCCTGTAATCCCACCACTTGGAAGGCTGAGGCAGGAGGATCACCAAGAATGTGCTCTCGACACATCCCCAGCCCTCAGACCTCACACATCCCCATCTTCAACACTTCCAGTGTCGATATGTTCTGCAAACACACCACTAAGTATGTGCCATTTTGTTACAGAAGCCAGGAGAGACTAAGATGCCTACTTTAAAAAAGACAGAATCTCAGCACAATGCAGAATAATTACTAATATAATATTAAAAGTTTCCCACCTTTTACTAGCTTCCTTTTGCCAAGTGAATCAGAAAATTTTTGTTTTATAGTTTTGTTTGAGACAGAGTCTCGTATAGTTTGGGCTGGTCTTGAACTCAGTCTGTGGCCCAGGTTGCCTTGAATTGATGGTGATCCTAACTTCCTCAGCTTCCAAAGAGCTGCAATTACAGGTGTGTGCCAGCACATCTGTGTGCAAACGGTCATTTTTTCACTTATGCTACTCAGCCTTGCGGGGGACGGGGGATCCAGCTTGTAGAGCCACCCAGGCACCAGGCAGGGGAAGCACCTGGTCCATGCCTCAGGGCAGAGCAGGCAAGGGGGCCTCATGTACCATCTGGCTGCTCTGGGGCTGTGGTCTGAGCTCGGGTCCCTGCCTCACCAGCTGCCAGACCAGGTCATGGAGGGGCACTGGGCAGCAACTCTTCTTGACCTCGAGTTCCCACCAGTGTCTGCACCACACCTGGTACTTTGGAGTCCTTTAGTGACGGGCCAGATGCCAGAGGGGTGAAGACATGAAGGCCCAAGGACAGTTCCCCAGATGATGTCATGATTGCATGGCCAGAAGAGTTTTCTTTCTCTCTCTTTTTAAAAAATCTTTAAGCAGCCATCTGTTGGTTAGCCTGCAGTGTATCCTCAGAATGAATATTTCAGAAGCTTGGTGGACAATGTTTGTCTGGAGAAAGGTGCACAGGACCCTGAGTCACCCCAGGAAACCCCAGGGAATGGCCAGGATGCAAGATCACACTTAGAAGAAGAAGATAGGGGGGCTGGCAAGGACAAGATGCTGGAACCCTGGGGATGCCGGTGGCTCCTCTGCAGCCTCCCTATCCTGAGTCACAGCAGGTGGGCCAAGCTCGTGGTCATGGAGACCGAGGCAGAGTCACCGGGCAAGGGCAGACGTGTTCTGCACGTCCATCACAGAGACATGAGTCACCATGGCCCACACATTTGCCCTGAACAACTCCTGAGAGACAAGATTCTGATCCCCGAGAGGTGGAGGAAGGGCCTGGGAGGGAGCCTACCACAGCAGGGAGCACTTGTGCCACCT